ATGAGATGAGACCAGGATGTTGTGTATCAGGAGGGATGTGACCAGGATGTTGTGTTTTAGGAGGGATGTGACCAGAATGTTGTGAATCAGGAGGTGACCAGGATGTTGTGTTTCAGGAGGGATGTGACCAGGATGTTATGTATCAGGTGGGATGTGACCTCGATGTTGTGTATCGGGTGGTATGTGACCAGGATGTTGTGTATCAGGTGGGATGTGACCAGAATGTTGTGTATAGGATGGGATGTGACCAGGATGTTGTGAATCAGGAGGGATGTGACCAGGATGTTGTGTATCGGGTGGGATGTGACCAGAATGTTGTGAATCAGGAGGGATGTGACCAGGATGTTGTGTATTGGGTGGGATGTGACCAGGATGTTGTGTATCAGGAGGGATGTGACCAGGATGTTGGGTATGATGTGGGATGTGACCAGGATGTTGTGTATGATGTGGGATGTGACCAGAATGTTGTGTATAGGGTGGGATGTGACCAGGATGTTGTGTATGATGTGGGATGTGACCAGAATGTTGTGTATAGGGTGGGATGTGACCAGGATGTTCTGTATAGGATGGGATGTGACCAGGATGCTGGGTATGATGTGGAATGTGACCGGATGTTGTCTATAGGGTGGGATGTGACCACAATGTTGTGTATCGGGTGGTATGTGACCAGGATGTTGTGTATCAGGAGGGATGTGACCAGGATGTTGGGTATGATATGGGATGTGACCAGAATGTTGCGTATAGGATGGGATGTGACCAGGATGTTGTGTATCAGGAGGGATGTGACCAGGATGTTGTGTATCAGGAGGGATGTGACCAGGATGTTCTGTTTTAGGAGGGATGTGACCGGATGTTGTGTATCAGGAGGGATGTGACCAGGATGTTGGGTATGATGTGGGATGTGACCAGGATGTTGTGTATAGGGTGGGATGTGACCACAATGTTGTGTATCGGGTGGTATGTGACCAGGATGTTGTGTATCAGGAGGGATGTGACCAGGATGTTGGGTATGATATGGGATGTGACCAGAATGTTGCGTATAGGATGGGATGTGACCAGGATGTTGTGTATCGGGTGGGATGTGATCAGGATGTTGTGTATCAGGAGGGATGTGACCAGGATCTTTGGTATGATATGGGATGTGACCAGGATGTTGTGTATCAGGAGGGATGTGACCAGAATGTTGTGTATAGGATGGGATGTGACCAGGATGTTTGGTATCGGGTGGGATGTGACCAGAATGTTGTGTATAGGATGGGATGTGACCAGGATGTTTGGTATCGGGTGGGATGTGACCAGAATGTTGTGTATAGGATGGGATGTGACCAGGATGTTGTGTATAGGATGGGATGTGACCAGGATGTTGTGTATAGGATGGGATGTGACCAGGATGTTATGTATCGGGTGGGATGTGACCAGAATGTTGTGTATAGGATGGGATGTGACCAGGATGTTATGTATCGGGTGGGATGTGACCAGAATGTTGTGTATCGGGTGGGATGTGACCAGGATGTTGTGTATTGGGTGGGATGTGACCAGGATGTTGTGTATTGGGTTGTATGTGACCAGGATGTTGGGTATGATGTGGGATGTGACCAGGATGTTGTGTATAGGATGGGATGTGACCAGGATGTTGTGTATAGGATGGGATGTGACCAGAATGTTGTGTATAGGATGGGATGTGACCAGGATGTTATGTATCAGGTGGGATGTGACCAGGATGTTTGGTATCAGGTGGGATGTGACCAGAATGTTGTGTATAGGATGGGATGGGATCAGGTTGTTGTGTATCAGGTGGGATGTGACCACGATGTTGTGTATCGGGTGGTATGTGACCAGGATGTTGTGTATCAGGAGGGATGTGACCAGGATGTTGGGTATGATATGGGATGTGACCAGAATGTTGTGTATAGGATGGGATGTGACCAGGATGTTATGTATCAGGTGGGATGTGACCTCGATGTTGTGTATCGGGTGGTATGTGACCAGGATGTTGTGTATCAGGTGGGATGTGACCAGAATGTTGTGTATAGGATGGGATGTGACCAGGATGTTAAGAATCAGGAGGGATGTGACCAGGATGTTGTGTATTGGGTGGGATGTGACCAGGATGTTGGGTATGATGTGGGATGTGACCAGGATGTTGTGTATAGGATGGGATGTGACCAGGATGTTGGGTATAGGATGGGATGTGACCAGGATGTTGTGTATAGGGTGGGATTTGACCAGGATGTTGTGTATGATGTGGGATGTGACCAGAATGTTGTGTATAGGGTGGGATGTGACCAGGATGTTCTCTATAGGATGGGATGTGACCAGGATGTTGTGAATCAGGAGGGATGTGACCAGGATGTTGTGTATTGGGTGGGATGTGACCAGGATGTTAGGTATGATGTGGGATGTGACCAGGATGTTGTGTATAGGATGGGATGTGACCAGGATGTTGGGTATAGGATGGGATGTGACCAGGATGTTGTGTATAGGGTGGGATTTGACCAGGATGTTGTGTATGATGTGGGATGTGACCAGAATGTTGTGTATAGGGTGGGATGTGACCAGGATGTTCTGTATAGGATGGGATGTGACCAGGATGTTGTGTATGATGTGGGATGTGACCGGATGTTGTGTATAGGGTGGGTTGTGACCACAATGTTGTGTATCGGGTGGTATGTGACCAGGATGTTGTGTATCAGGAGGGATGTGACCAGGGTGTTGGGTATGATATGGGATGTGACCAGAATGTTGCGTATAGGATGGGATGTGACCAGGATGTTGTGTATCGGGTGGGATGTGATCAGGATGTTGTGTATCAGGAGGGATGTGACCAGGATCTTTGGTATGATATGGGATGTGACCAGGATGTTGTGTATCAGGAGGGATGTGACCAGAATGTTGTGTATAGGATGGGATGTGACCAGGATGTTTGGTATCGGGTGGGATGTGACCAGAATGTTGTGTATAGGATGGGATGTGACCAGGATGTTTGGTATCGGGTGGGATGTGACCAGAATGTTGTGTATAGGATGGGATGTGACCAGGATGTTGTGTATAGGATGGGATGTGACCAGGATGTTGTGTATAGGATGGGATGTGACCAGGATGTTATGTATCGGGTGGGATGTGACCAGAATGTTGTGTATAGGATGGGATGTGACCAGGATGTTATGTATCGGGTGGGATGTGACCAGAATGTTGTGTATCGGGTGGGATGTGACCAGGATGTTGTGTATTGGGTGGGATGTGACCAGGATGTTGTGTATTGGGTTGTATGTGACCAGGATGTTGGGTATGATGTGGGATGTGACCAGGATGTTGTGTATAGGATGGGATGTGACCAGGATGTTGTGTATAGGATGGGATGTGACCAGAATGTTGTGTATAGGATGGGATGTGACCAGGATGTTATGTATCAGGTGGGATGTGACCAGGATGTTTGGTATCAGGTGGGATGTGACCAGAATGTTGTGTATAGGATGGGATGGGATCAGGTTGTTGTGTATCAGGTGGGATGTGACCACGATGTTGTGTATCGGGTGGTATGTGACCAGGATGTTGTGTATCAGGAGGGATGTGACCAGGATGTTGGGTATGATATGGGATGTGACCAGAATGTTGTGTATAGGATGGGATGTGACCAGGATGTTATGTATCAGGTGGGATGTGACCTCGATGTTGTGTATCGGGTGGTATGTGACCAGGATGTTGTGTATCAGGTGGGATGTGACCAGAATGTTGTGTATAGGATGGGATGTGACCAGGATGTTAAGAATCAGGTGGGATGTGACCAGGATGTTGTGTATTGGGTGGGATGTGACCAGGATGTTGGGTATGATGTGGGATGTGACCAGGATGTTGTGTATAGGATGGGATGTGACCAGGATGTTGGGTATAGGATGGGATGTGACCAGGATGTTGTGTATAGGGTGGGATTTGACCAGGATGTTGTGTATGATGTGGGATGTGACCAGAATGTTGTGTATAGGGTGGGATGTGACCAGGATGTTCTCTATAGGATGGGATGTGACCAGGATGTTGTGAATCAGGAGGGATGTGACCAGGATGTTGTGTATTGGGTAGGATGTGACCAGGATGTTAGGTATGATGTGGGATGTGACCAGGATGTTGTGTATAGGATGGGATGTGACCAGGATGTTGGGTATAGGATGGGATGTGACCAGGATGTTGTGTATAGGGTGGGATTTGACCAGGATGTTGTGTATGATGTGGGATGTGACCAGAATGTTGTGTATAGGGTGGGATGTGACCAGGATGTTCTGTATAGGATGGGATGTGACCAGGATGTTGTGTATGATGTGGGATGTGACCGGATGTTGTGTATAGGGTGGGTTGTGACCACAATGTTGTGTATCGGGTGGTATGTGACCAGGATGTTGTGTATCAGGAGGGATGTGACCAGGATGTTGGGTATGATATGGCATGTGACCAGAATGTTGCGTATAGGATGGGATGAGACCAGGATGTTCTGTATAGGATGGGATGTGACCAGGATGTTGTGTATGATGTGGGATGTGACCGGATGTTGTGTATAGGGTGGGATGTGACCACAATGTTGTGTATCGGGTGGTATGTGACCAGGATGTTGTGTATAGGATGGGATGTGACCAGGATGTTGTGTTTTAGGAGGGATGTGACCGGATGTTGTGTATAGGGTGGGATGTGACCACAATGTTGTGTATCGGGTGGTATGTGACCAGGATGTTGTGTATCAGGAGGGATGTGACCAGGATGTTGTGTTTTAGGAGGGATGTGACCAGGATGTTGTGTATCAGGAGGGATGTGACCAGGATGTTGGGTATGATATGGGATGTGACCAGAATGTTGCGTATAGGATGGGATGTGACCAGGATGTTGTGTATCAGGAGGGATGTGACCAGGATGTTGTGTATCGGGTGGTATGTGACCAGGATGTTGTGTATCAGGAGGGATGTGACCAGGATGTTGTGTTTTAGGAGGGATGTGACCAGGATGTTGTGTTTCAGGTGGGATGCAGGACTGGAACTACCTCCACACCAACTGTTTTGAGATCACGCTTGAGTTAGGATGTACCAAGTTCCCCATAGGATCTGAGCTGCCCAAGTACTGGGCCAACAACAAGTTCCCCCTGCTGGTCTACATGGGACAGGTAGCTGCTTCACAGAACAAACACACTGCAGTTGGGTCTTTTGCCTCAAGTGTTCACAGTTCACATTAAGTCCATCTCATAGCAAGAGTTATTCATGACTTTTCATTAACTCTTGAGGTTCATCCATTCTAACTTTCCAACCAGCAGTCCAGGAAGTGGGTTGGCTTATCAGGGTTAGAAATTAAGGGACGCGTCTTAATTTATGATTTTGCGTCTATAAATCAAAATAAAGTCAATATTATGTGTCTTGCTTTTTTCTGTTTCAAAATTTGTTGAGAAATACCTAGATTTCTAAATTCACTGTGATAACTTTTAATTTCGCAAAGATTTTCCTCGATTGTTTAGAGTTACCTCCCCATTCGCGTTTCCCGGGAAAAACTTTTACTCAGGGGTCCGGAAAATTTAAAATCCCAATCGGACATTTGCATTTAGGCCACGCCCCCTTCAAATAGCGTATTTTAGTACGACTTTTCACACACATTACAAGTTTACGTATTCATAATATGATGAATTATGAATTGTTTCAATTTAAATTGTTTAATTCACCGGACAATTAATAACAAATAATATCATTTTAGATTTACATGGAAAACATACGTTTGTTTCTGTTTTAATAACGATCTGTTAACGTAGTGAACGGTCTAATTAATATTCATGAGTTATATTCATGAGTCTGCTCAAGTGTACGCGTTGTAACATTTGGATCGAGACTATTATCCCATATTTGGTTATCACGTGACCTCAAGGGAAAAGGTTTTTTTTAAACTAAAGATATTTTTAAAAACAAGACAGATAATTTAATCACAAACACTAAAATATCGTTGATAGCAATAGTTATTTGTATACTTTTTTCATCTGTACTTAATTATTGACCATAAAAAAATTGGATATCGATCGTCCGAGATGGCAAAATGGCGGTCAATCAAGATTCAATATACGACTAGCTACTGAAAACAATAAAATCTGCAAATCCTCATTGTATGTCAACCAAGTGAAAGTCGTTAGCCACGACTTACAAAATGATCGTCCAGACTTTGAGGGTTTGGCAGATCCGGTCGACTGGCTGTCGTCATGCTTTCGCTTCTTGTCTGAGGTTACGTATCGTAGCATTGTGAGGATAATGAGGTACATCGATGATGCAAGGTATTAATGTACAGTTGTAAACACCTTTCACTCAAATTAACAAGATGTTCTCAGTAATTAATCCTCGATTAATCAGCGTCAACTCAGTTTATTGCCTATTACAGTGATTGACCGATTGGACTATCATGTAGGTACGATGTATTTTCAGCAATCAAAACAAACAAAGCTTGTCAGTGTAGTTAATCTTCATTGTGTTGCAACTGCAGACAGAAACTGCTCAGTCCTAACTGTTGATCATGTCCGGTCAAAATTTAAGAATGTCCGGACAATACTTTTTAAAATGTCCGGTAAGCAATATTTTAAAACGGACATTTGAGATTCCCAATCGGACATGTCCGGCGCATATGACGGTTTCCCGGACCCCTGCTTTTACTGCCTTTCTTTCCATTCAACTTTGGTGAACGCGGACTATTCCGAGCTCTTTTTGACCAATGAACATATATCACGGAGATTAATATTATGCAAATGACGTATGTCTATGTCATTCGTTTTTTAGATGACATAACATCCTCGAATCCCCAGACGACACCCCGTAGGCTGGTAGACCGTTCAAGCCGTAGTCACGTCAAAATAATATATAATTTTATTAACCTACCTGTCATATCATTCATTTATTAATTTCACAATGTCTGAAATACGTATTCCATTTCAATTTATCATTTTTTATTGATAAATTAAAAAACTATTCACTATTTCCCGCAACGTTTTTGAAAATTATATCTCGACAACACTCTTCAACAACGGGTCCACATCGAACATGTCAAAGAGCAATGTAAAGACGTTTCAAGCAAATCTTTAAATATGTTATACAAAGTAATAAAGTAGATGTAATTTGATTGGCTGACTTAGGTCACGTGCTCAGACACAAACCTTGTAGCAGACTTCGGCAAGGAGAGCGTCATTAGAAACCAATTTTACAGAAGCTTTCTATCGATGTGTCATATGGCAGTCTTCGACGAACGTGTTATTCGAAAACGGAGGTATTTCTTCATGTTACTGAGCGGATAGCCACTGTTATCGGGAAAGGGGTGATGACAGATACTAAATTTATTTATAATTCTTTTTAAAATATTTTTTCCAATTGCGTAAACAATTGTTTTTTATGAAATCTTATAGATTCTATCTATTTTGCGCTTCCGTTGGTCATTAATCTAGACGTTATGAAAGCTCACATTTTTTTATTTACAACGAACTTAATCAAGTTGTAAATGTATTATTTAAATAATGTGATAAATATAACTTTCATATTTATAAACAATAGGATTGGACCTTCAAATGGTGTATAATATGTGGTAGCAAAGATGTTTTACAAACATGCAGATAATTTCTTTGATAAATGTTTTAGGAGAGTAATGTAATTACTTTGTTATCTGAATGTCATAACATGCATAATCAGCCATTATTTATATGCAGCATAAATCATGATCATGCAATCTTGTGATATTTATTTTGAAGTTTTGAGTTGAGAAAAATAATTGCTTGTTGATTTTTTTATTTTGCTTGTAACTTTTAAAACCACAAGCAAAAATTTGCTTGTGCCTAAAAAAATTAAATTCTAACCCTGCTTTTACATTTGCATACTTCATTGCTGACATGATGTTTGACTCAGTGTTAATATACGAATGGGTATGAGGCCCTGGCCACATAAAGCTGCTTATTGGTTTTGTGAAGGATAACCAACATAAGTTAAACTGTCATGGTACATCAAACTACTGGTTCCAGGGCATCTGCTTCCCCTTATGTTGAGGGGATTCACCTTATGTTGAGGGGATTACCTTATGTTGAGGGGATTACCTTATGTTTACTTTATGTTGAGGGGATTACTTTATGTTGAGGGGATTAACTTATGTTGAGGGGATTCACCTTATGTTGAGGGGATTACCTTATGTTGAAGGGATTACCTTATGTTTACTTTATGTTGAGGGGATTACTTTATGTTGAGGGGATTACCTTATGTTGAGGGGATTCACCTTATGTTGAGGGGATTACCTTATGTTGAGGGGATTACCTTATGTTGAGGGGATTCGCCTTATGTTGAGGGGATTACCTTATGTTGAGGGGATTACCTTATGTTGAGGGGATTCGCCTTATGTTGAGGGGATTCACCTTATGATGAGGGGATTACCTTATGTTGAGGGGATTACCTTATGTTGAGGGGATTACCTTATGTTGAGGGGATTACTTTATGTTGAGGTGATTACCTTATGTTTAAGGGATTACCTTATGTTGAGGGGATTCACCTTATGTTGAGGGGATTCACCTTATGTTGAGGGGATTCACCTTATGTTGAGGGGATCACCTTATGTTGAGGGGATTACCTTATGTTTATGGGATTACTTTATGTTGAGGGGATTACCTTATGTTTAAGGGATTACTTTATGTTGAGGGGATTACCTTATGTTTAAGGGATTACTTTATGTTGAGGGGATTACCTTATGTTGAGGAGATTCACCTTATGTTGAGGGGATTCACCTAATGTTGAGGGGATTCACATTCTTTGAATGGATAAGAATGGAGATAATAGGTATGTAGTGTAATTGTCTCAGTGCTTTATTCTGAAAATCTGGTAACTCATGTTTTTGGAGCTTTTGCCTGTGACATCTGACTTCAACTGTTAATGCTGTTCAGGTTCACAAAGGTGTGAGAGGCTTTGTCCTGGAGGAGGACAGCCAGCATCCTGTCGCCAACGCCACCATCCAGGTGGAGGGCATCAACCACACCATCACCTCCGCCCAGGCCGGAGACTACTGGAGACTACTGGCACCCGGGCAGTACACCATCACAGCCAGCAAGCAGGGGTCAGTATGTCCTATATCCAACATACATATAGTCCTAGCTGTGAAAAATACATCACAGCCAGCAAGCAGGGGTCAGTATGTCCTTTATCCAACACACATTTAGTCCTAGCCAGGACAGGTACATCACAGCCAGCTAGCCTGGGCCAGTATCTCCTATATCCAACACACGTATAGTCCTAGCCAGGACAGATACATCACAGCCAGCAAGCAGGGATCAGTATGTCCTATATCCAACACACATTTAGTCCTAGCCAGGACAGGTACATCACAGCCAGCAAGCAGGGGTATTTCCTATATCCAACACACATATAGTTCTAGCAAGGACAGGTACATCACAGCCAGCAAGCAGGGGTCAGTATGTCCTATATCCAACACACATTTAGTCCTAGCCAGGACAGGTACATCACAGCCAGCAAACAGGGGTATTTCCTATATCCAACACACATATAGTTCTAGCCAGGACAGGTACATCTCAGCAAGCAAGCAGGGGTCAGTATGTCCTATATCCAACACACATTTAGTCCTAGCAAGAACAGATACATCACAGCCAGCAAGCAGGGGTCAGTATGTCCTATATCCAACACACATATAGTCCTAGCTAGGACAGATACATCACAGCCAGCAAGCAGGGGTCGTTATGTCCTATATCCAACACACATATAGTCCTAGCCATGACAGGTACATCACAGCCAGCAAGCCTGGGTCAGTATCTCCTATATCCAACACACATTTAGTCCTAGCCAGGACAGGTACATCACAGCCAGCAAGCAGGGGTCAGTATGTCCTGTATCCAACACACATTTAGTCCTAGCCAGGACAGATACATCACAGCCAGCAAGCCTGGGTCAGTATCTCCTATATCCAACACACATTTAGTCCTAGCCAGGACAGGTACATCACAGCCAGCAAGCAGGGGTCAGTATGTCCTGTATCCAACACACATTTAGTCCTAGCCAGGACAGATACATCACAGCCAGCAAGCCTGGGTCAGTATCTCCTATATCCAACACACATTTAGTCCTAGCCAGGACAGGTACATCACAGCCAGCAAGCAGAGGTCAGTATGTCCTATATCCAACATACATTTAGTCCTAGCCAGGACAGATACATCACAGCCAGCAAGCCTGGGTCAGTATCTCCTATATCCAACACACATTTAGTCCTAGCCAGGACAGGTACATCACAGCCAGCAAGCAGGGGTCAGTATGTCCTGTATCCAACACACATTTAGTCCTAGTTAGAACAGATAATACAGACGGTAAGTAGATGTTTGTATGTCCAATATCCAACACACATATAGATCTACAATTATGTAATTTTACAAAGTTAACAAATGTTACTGTTTTTCTGGAGTCAGCTTTATGCAATTATTTACCCTTAATAAATTTCTTTTTTTTCTAATCAACCATCACCATTTGAGGAACTTACCCTTAATAAATTTCTTTTTTTTCTAATCAACCATCACCATTTGAGGAACTTAAAAAAAAGGTAGAAACAGGTCAAACGACATGTGCAGGAATGTTCTTGCCAATGCACTATCGAGACTGAACCCCAGCCTCCAGAGTGCTTTCAACTACAACCACCACAGCCAACTACTACAGCCAAAGTTAGCAAGCTCCTTTTTTTTTAATGTGATGTAAGTCCAGTGGCAACAATACTCTAGAAGGTCATCCATCTTGGTCTCTACTGGGAGTTTATCGCCCAAAATCAGCAACCCAGCCAGCCTGGTCAACTATACCACACTTCCATTCCATCCTAGCGATGGAGGACCAGGATTAGATGAGGTTCACAATCCTACAGACCTATAATGCAGCAGGGTTGGAGGTCCAACAACCCCCATGAGATCCGGGTGCTGGCATCCACCATGGCTCTAAACTGTTCCATTCAGGCCATTATGCAAGGGTGTTTTTGGAGAGCATACCTCTGTCTTTACAAGCAGGGATGGCATGCATAGTTTTGAAGTAAGGATTACCAGCTTTTTGGTTTAGGTTCTCATTTACTGGGTCTCCTAAAAGCATTTAACCTAGGTCTCTTTAGAGAACCGAAAGTTATGTTTGGTTGTCACCAAATCAGGCAATCTCAACCCACTGGACCATTCTACGAGATGCCATTACATGCAACAGCTGTCTGAAAAGGCAAAGTCTGTTTCGGACAAATGCCTTGAACTTTTTAGCTGGTGAATCCATGAGACACCCCATTGATGTGCTCTGTATGTTTCAGGTACCTCTCCCAGTCAGTGACAGTTCGGGTGACAGATGGCACTGCTGTACTTGTCAATTTGACACTGAAGCTCAGAAACGGACAGCGTTGGTCACAGTCATTTGACTTTGACATCCCTGAAAACTTAGAGAGTATGTCATACCTGACAACACATGGTATCCAGGAGGAGGTCAACCAGCTCGCCCGCCTGAACCCGGCATTTGTGACCTCCGACACTCTGCACATGAACCGCAAGGGGAAGTCTGTTGCTGCCATTCACATGTCCTCAGACACGGACCAGCATGAAGAGAACAAAGCCCATGTGCTACTGATAGGCGGGTTGAACGGCGATGACCCGGTCAGCACAGAGCTCCTGATGAGGCTTGCCAGACATCTGATTAAAGGTAGGGGCATCAGTGATAATCTGGCAGACATCTGATTAAAGTTAGGGGCATCAGTAGCAGGTTGGCAGACATCTGGTTAAAGGTAGGATCATCAATGGTAGGCAGGCAGACATTTTGGTAAAGGTAGGGACATCAATGGTAGGCAGGCAGACATTTGGGTAAAGGTAGGGACATCAATGGTAGGCTGGCAGACATCTGGTTAAAGGTAGGGACATCAATGGTAGGCTGGCAGACATTTGGGTAAAGGTAGGGACATCAATGGTAGGCTGGCAGACATCTGGTTAAAGGTAGGGACATCAATGGTAGGCTGGCAGACATTTTGGTAAAGGTAGGGACATCATTGGTAGGCGGGCATACATCTCTTTAAAGGTAGGATCATCAATGGTAGGCCAGCAGACATTTTGGTAAAGGTAGGGACGTCAATGGTAGGCCTGCAGACATCTCTTTAAAGGTAGGGACATCAATGGTAGGCAGGCAGACATTTGGGTAAAGGTAGGGACATCAATGGTAGACAGGCAGGCAGGCAGACATTTGGGTAAAGGTAGGGACATCAATGGTAGGCAGGCAGGCAGACATTTGGGTAAAGGTAGGATCATCAATGGTAGGCAGGCAGGCAGACATTTGGGTAAAGGTAGGGGCATCAATGGGTAGGCCGGCAGACATCTGGGTAAAGGTAGGGACATCAATGGGTAGGCAGGCAGGCAGACATTTGGGTAAAGGTAGGATCATCAATGGTAGGCAGGCAGGCAGACATTTGGGTAAAGGTAGGGGCATCAATGGGTAGGCCGGCAGACATCTGGGTAAAGGTAGGGACATCAATGGGTAGGCCGGCAGACATTTGGTTAAAGGTAGGGGTATCAATTGTGGGAGTATGACAGATCCATATGACACTCTGTAGGTAGATGATCCAGGAAGCCATAGTGGGCTCTTGTAGAAAACATGTTTATGAAGAATTAGCCTACTCCACTGAACGTAATTGCCTGTTGAGTACTGGCTGCCTGTCTGTGTGAGCCCTGACCATGTTGCCTCCATTCTGCCAGGCTACAACCAGAAACACCCCCACTGTGTGAAGCTGATCGAACACAGTCACATCCACATCATCCCACAGATCAACATAGAGGGCTCTAGCAAGGCTGTTCCTGGTGACTGTGGAGGTGAACACTACACTGGACACAGATTTGCAGATCTCGTCAAAAACAATGTAAGTATGGAGCAACAGTATGGGGATAGGAAGCATTATGGTGTGTAATAGACTTCCAGTTGTGAGTATTTGTATGTGGACTCATCATTGTGCCTCTTCTCTGTTTCAGGACACAATTGTTGCTGCCCTGAAGAGTCAGTTTGACTTGCACCAGTTTGAGTTTGTGCTTGCCCTGGAGGGTGGAGGGATGTACATGGTGTAAGTATTGGTTATACCCACTGCTTGGTAGTCATTGCTAGGCTTGCTGGCTCCACTACAGCTTGTTAGACATACCTAAGGATTGCTGACGACATCTACAGCTTGTTAGACATACCTAAGGATTGCTGGCTATAGCTACAGCTTGTTAAACATACCTAAGCATTGATGGCTACATCTACAGCTTGTTAGACATACCCAAGGATTGCTGGCTACATATACAGCTTGTTAGACATACCTAAGGATTGCTGGCTACATCTACAGCTTGTTAGATGTACCTTAGTATTGCTGGCTACATCTACAGCTTGTTAGATGTACCTAAGGATTGCTGGCTTCATCTACAGCTTGTTAGACATACCTGAGGATTGCTGACTACATCTACAGCTTGTTAGACATACCTAAGGATTGATGGCTACATCTACAGCTTGTTAGACATACCCAAGGATTGCTGGAAATACCCAGAGCTAGTTGGCCTCACCCATAGCTTGCTGGAAATACCCAGAGCTAGTTGACCTCACCCATAGCTTGCTGTAATACCCAGAGCTAGTTGACCTCACCCATAGCTTTTTGGAAATACCAAGAGCTAGTTGACCTCACCCATAGCTTGCTGGAAATACCCAGAGCTAGTTGGCCTCACCCACAGCTTGCTGGAAATACCCAGAGCTAGTTGACCTCACCCACAGCTTGCTGGAAATACCCAGAGCTAGTTGACCTCACCCACAGCTTGCTGGAAATACCCAGAGCTAGTTGGCCTCACCAACAGCTTGCTGGAAATACCCAGAGCTAGCTGGCCTCACCAACAGCTTGCTGGAAATACCCAGAGCTGGTTGACCCCATCCATAGCTTGCTGGAAATATCCAGAGCTAGTTGATCCCACCCATAGCTTGCTGGAAATACCTAGAGGTAGTTGACCTCACCCATAGCTTGCTGGAAATACCCAGAGCTAGTTGACCTCACCAACAGCTTGCTGTAATACCAAGAGCTAGTTGAACTCACTCATAGCTTTTTGGAAATACCCAGAGCTAGTTGACCTCACCCATAGCTTGCTGGAAATACCAAGAGCTAGTTGACCTCACCCATAGATTGCTGGAAATACCCAGAGCTGGTTGACCTCACCCATAGCTTCCTGGAAATATCCAGAGCTAGTTGACCTCACCCGTAGCTTGCTGGAAATACCCAGAGCTAGTTGACCTCACCTATAGCTTGCTGAAAATACCCAGAGCTAGTTGACCTCACCCACAGCTTGCTGGAAATACCCAGAGCTAGTTGACCTCACCCTTAGATTGCTGGAAATACCCAGAGCTAGTTGACCTCACCCATAGTTTGCTGTAATACCCAGAGCTAGTTGGCCTCATCCATAGCTTTTTGGAAATACCCAGAGCTAGTTGACCTCACCCATAGCTTGCTGTAATACCCAGAGCTAGATGACCTCACCCATAGCTTGCTGGAAATACCCAGAGCTGGTTGACCTCACCCATAGATTGCTGGAAATACCAAGAGCTAGTTGACCTCACCCATAGCTTGCTGGAAATACCCAGAGCTAGTTGGCCTCACCCACAGCTTGCTGGAAATACCCAGAGCTAGTTTACCTCACCCACAGCTTGCTGGAAATACCCAGAGCTAGCTGGCCTCACCAACAGCTTGCTGGAAATACCCAGAGCTAGTTGACCTCACCCACAGCTTGCTGGAAATACCCAGAGCTAGCTGACCTCACCCGCAGCTAGCTGGAAATACCCAGTGCTTGTTGACCTCACCCACAGCTTGCTGGAAATACCCAGAGCTAGCTGGCCTCACCCATAGCTTGCTGGAAATACCCAGAGCTAGTTGGCCTCACCCACAGCTTGCTGGAAATACCCAGAGCTAGTTTACCTCACCCACAGCTTGCTGGAAATACCCAGAGCTAGTTGACCTCACCCATAGCTTGCTGGAAATACGCAGAGCTAGTTGGCCTCACCCACAGCTTGCTGGAAATACCCAGAGCTAGCTGGCATCACCAACAGCTTGCTGGAAATACCCAGAGGTGGTTCACCCCATCCATAGCTTGCTGGAAATATCTATTGCTAGTTGATCCCACCCATAGCTTGCTGGAAATACCTAGAGGTAGTTGACCTCACCCATAGCTTGCTGGAAATACCCAGAGCTAGATAACCTCACCCATAGCTTGCTGGAAATACCCAGAGCTAGTTGACCTCACCCACAGCTTGCTGGAAATACCCAGAGCTAGCTGACCTCACCCGCAGCTAGCTGGAATTACCCAGTGCTCGTTGACCTCACCCACAGCTTGCTGGAAATACCCACAGCTAGCTGGCCTCACCCATAGCTTGCTGGAAATACCCAGTGCTTGTTGACCTCACCCGTAGCTTGCTGTAATACCCAGAGCTAGTTGACCTCACCCTTAGATTGCTGGAAATACCCAGAGCTAGTTGACCTCACCCATAGCTTGCTGGAAATACCCAGAGCTAGTTGACCTCACCCACAGCTTGCTGGAAATACCCAGAGCTGGTTGACCCCATCCATAGCTTGCTGGAAATATCCAGAGCTAGTTGATCCCACCCATAGCTTGCTGGAAATACCTAGAGGTAGTTGACCTCACCCATAGCTTTTTGGAAATACCCAGAGCTAGTTGACCTCACCCACAGCTTGCTGTAATACCAAGAGCTAGTTGAACTCACCCATAGCTTTTTGGAAATACCCAGAGCTAGTTGACCTCACGCATAGCTCGCTGGAAATACCCAGAACTAGTTGACCTCACCCATAGATTGCTGGAAATACCCAGAGCTAGTTGACCTCACCCATAGCTTCCTGGAAATATCCAGAGCTACTTGACCTCACCCGTAGCTTGCTGGAAATACCCAGAGCTAGTTGACCTCACCCACAGCTTGATGGAAATACCCAGAGCTAGTTGACCTCACCCATAGTTTGCTATAATACCCAGAGCTAGTTGACCTCACCCATAGCTTTTTGGAAATACCCAGAGCTAGTTGACCTCAACCATAGCTTGCTGTAATACCCAGAGCTAGTTGACCTCACCCATAGCTTGCTGGAAATACCCAGAGCTGGTTGACCTCACCCATAGATTGCTGGAAATACCCAGAGCTAGTTGACCTCACCCATAGCTTGCTGGAAATACCCAGAGCTAGTTGGCCTCACCCACAGCTTGCTGGAAATACCCAGAGCTAGTTTACCTCACCCACAGCTTGCTGGAAATACCCAGAGCTAGTTTACCTCACCCATAGCTTGCTGGAAATACCCAGAGCTAGTTGGCCTCACCCACAGCTTGCTGGAAATACCCAGAGCTAGCTGGCCTCACCCGCAGCTAGCTGGAAATACCCAGTGCTTGTTGACCTCACCCACAGCTTGCTGGAAATACCCAGAGCTAGCTGGCCTCACCCACAGCTTGCTGGAAATACCCAGTGCTTGTTGACCTCACCCGTAGCTTGCTGTAATACCCAGAGCTAGTTGACATCACCCTTAGATTGCTGAAAATACCCAGAGCTAGTTGACCTCACCCATAGCTTGCTGGAAATACCCAGAGCTAGTTGACCTCACCCACAGCTTGCTGGAAATACCCAGAGCTAGTTGACCTCACCTATAGCTTGCTGGAAATACCCAGAGCTGGTTGACCCCATCCATAGCTTGCTGGAAATATCCAGAGTTAGTTGATCCCACCCATAGCTTGCTGGAAATACCTAGAGGCAGTTGACCCCATCCAAAGCTTGCTGGAAATACCCAGAGATAGCTGGCCTCACCCACAGCTTGCTAGAAATACCCAGTGCTTGTTGACCTCACCATGGCTTGCTGTAATACCCAGAGCTAGTTGACCTAACCATAGATTTTTGGAAATACTCAGAGCTAGTTGACCTCACCCATAGCTTGCTGTAATACCCAGAGCTAGTTGACCTCACCCATAGCTTGCTGGAAATACCCAGAGCTAGTTGACCTCATCCATAGATTGCACGAAATACCCAGAGCTAGTTGGCCTCACCCACAGCTTGCTGGAAATACCCAGAGCTAGTTGACCTCACCCATAGCTTTCTGGAAATACCCAGAGCTAGTTGACCCAACCCATAGCTTGCTGGAAATACCCAGAGGTAGTTGACCTCACCCACAGCTTGCTGGAAATACCCAGAGCTAGTTGACCTCACCCATAGCTTCCTGTAATACCCAGAGCTAGTTGACCTCACCCATAGCTTGATGGAAATACCCAGAGCTAGTTGACCTCACCCATAGTTTGCTGTAATACCCAGAGCTAGTTGGCCTCACCCATAGCTTTTTGGAAATACCCAGAGCTAGTTGACCTCACCCATAGCTTGCTGTAATACCCAGAGCTAGATGACCTCACCCATAGCTTGCTGGAAATACCCAGAGCTAGTTGGCCTCACCAACAGCTTGCTGGAAATACCCAGAGCTAGTTGACCTCACCCACAGCTTGCTGGAAATACCCAGAGCTAGTTTACCTCACCCGCAGCTAGCTGGAAATACCCAGTGCTTGTTGACCTCACCCACAGCTTGCTGGAAATACCCAGAGCTAGCTGGCCTCACCCATAGCTTGCTGGAAATACCCAGAGCTAGTTGGCCTCACCCACAGCTTGCTGGAAATACCCAGAGCTAGTTTACCTCACCCACAGCTTGCTGGAAATACCCAGAGCTAGTTGACCTCACCCATAGCTTGCTGGAAATACGCAGAGCTAGTTGGCCTCACCCACAGCTTGCTGGAAATACCCAGAGCTAGCTGGCATCACCAACAGCTTGCTGGAAATACCCAGAGGTGGTTCACCCCATCCATAGCTTGCTGGAAATATCCAGAGCTAGTTGATCCCACCCATAGCTTGCTGGAAATACCTAGAGGTAGTTGACCTCACCCATAGCTTGCTGGAAATACCCAGAGCTAGATAACCTCACCCATAGCTTGCTGGAAATACCCAGAGCTAGTTGACCTCACCCACAGCTTGCTGGAAATACCCAGAGCTAGCTGACCTCACCCGCAGCTAGCTGGAATTACC